ATAAACTATATAGTTTATATATAATTATTTATATATATATATATATACACTTATACTTTATATGTATATATACTTTATACACTTATATACTTTATATTATATACTTATATACTTTAGTCTTTATAATTATACTTTATATTTAATACTTATATATTTTATATTATATACTTATATACTTTATATTATATGCTTATATACTTTAGTCTTTATAATTAATACTTTATATATATAATATATATTTATACTTTATATTATTATATATGTATATCTATTTTATACTAAAACTTTATACATATATTTTATAGTTTATATATATACTTTTACTTTATAGTTTATATGTATATATATTTTATATACTTTATATAATATACTTATATACTTATATACTTTAGTTTTTATAATTATACTTTATATATATATATATATAATATACTTATACTTGATATTATTATATATGTATATGTACTTTATATATATATATATATAATTTATAGTTTATATATATACTTAAATATTTTATATTTAAACTATATAAATTATATAATTTATATTTAAATTATACATAATATATAAATATTCTCCGTGTAGCTACAGAATGATCAGTTCTAATGGTGAATTGAGACCCTGAACCTTACCTCTTTTTGCATACTGTGCAAATGAAGACGATCCGATTCTTTTTCCCGTCTGCATACTATGCTCCGTAGCTAGAGTCTCCTATTGAGCCCTTTCAATCGCCTTCACTCTATTTATCACTTCTTGCAAACTAGAAAGATTTAATGCCAACATCATTCTTTAAGCTTAGGCCTCAGACCCTCAATGAACCAATCTCGACGAGCTTTATCATTAGGAACAACTTATATAGCATAACGGTTGAGCTTATTATATTTGTCCTCGTATTCATGTACCGCTCAATCTCCTTGTTTCAAGCTCAAAAACTTCAGTAACATTGATCTCATAAACTGCTCCCCAATATACTTATTTTTGAACTCCTCTTGGAAGAATTGCCAGTTCACTTGCTCGGGTGACGCATACATCGTCGTGTTTATCCACCATACTCGAGCCAAACCTCGGGGTAATGATACTTCTCGGCCCATCTTTTCATGATCGGAGCACTGCAGACTTTCTAACATCGCCTTAACGTCATTCAACCATAAGTCCACGTCCATCGATTCTTCACTTTTTTCTCCCTTAAACTCATGAGCTCTCAAACTTCCTAACTCCTTTGTGATTAGCATTCTCGATACTGAAAGAGCAGGGGAGGCGAAGGAGGTTGAAATCGCGTCAATATAGCATCTAGAGCTTGCATAAAAGCTCCGAACTCTGGAACAGGCATGCCCTGAGGTGCCAGTGCACTAGCATTGTCAGACGGAATCGGATGTTAGCTATTCTCTTCATAGCTCTCACTACCCGATTCGTCTCTACTCTCTCGACCGACATCTCTTCTGGAGTTTGTAGAATCTGAAATCTATCATATCATTCATAAAATAATAACTACATTAGTAAGGAGATATATTGTTCATATTCATTCTATACCCTATCAGTAATATTAACATCTTAGTGGCATGTAAACTCTTTTTGCATAAAAAAATCACACTTGATTCGGCCGAGAATCGGCTAAACCTATAGCTCTGATACCAATAAATGTAACACATATCTCTTGCATACCCATACGTATACGAGACACATATGTCACATCACTAATATATTAATTCTTAAATTCGAAATCCCAAAAAAATTTGCTTTATTTTTATAAACATTTAATTTACTTAAAAGACACATATTAACTTAAGTAGACAAACAAAAAGAGTTGTTCAAACAATTCACCATTTTACAACAATTTAATCTACATACTGATCAGAGTGTTTTTACTAAACCCTATTACATGTCGACTAAAATATGACAAAAGTAGACTAATATGTCATACGGTTACTGATGAGGCGACTCTGACAGGATGTCCAAAGATCTCCTTACTTAGTTGTATTCAACCTACACGTGGAATAACACATGTTAAGTATTACTTAATGAGGCATAATTAATCACAAGTAAAATTCTAAACACCCCTTTATTTTATTATCCTTCCCTTTCCAAGAAAACTTTAACTCCAATAGGTATTCTATAATTTGCATCACTGATGCTATTAACCTCATTTATCAACCATTATTATAATCTATAAATTCCACAGGGAATTTATACAATTAGTGTGATTCCCTTATCATTTTAGCACACTTAGTGCCCTATCTGGAAATCCATACGCTTAGTACGATTTCCTTACCATTTTAGCACACAAAGTGCCCTATACAGAAATCCATACAATTAGTATGATTTCCTTACCATTTTAGCACACAAAGTGCCCTATCTGGAAATCAATACACTTAGTAGGATTTCCTTACCATTTTTGCAAACAAAGTGCCCTATCTGGAAATTCATACCATTAGTATGATTTCCTTACCATTTTAGCACACAAAGTGCCCTATCTGAAAATTCACACAATTAATATGATTTCCTTACCATTTTAGCACACAAAGTGCCATTGGGTAATCACCATACATACATCAATAAATCATACCATTAAGACTATTACAACATATACGTACAAAATTAAATGCACTCACCTGATTCACCTTGCTTAAATATCCTGATTGTAAAAATGATTACTCCGAAACTTGACCCTTGCCTTTCGCCTTACTCGACTCAGGAGCTTGATTTCGATCTATCCCATATTTATTTACATACATTCATAATATCAATTGTTAGTGTATTTCCTAACAATTATAACTTAACAATAATCAAAATACTTATTATTAACCTTTTTACAACAATATCAGCCCAACTTAAGATTTCTGGCCCTTCAGTATCGATACTCCTACTATGTTATCGATATTACCCTACTATGGTATCGATACCATCTTCTAGTATCGATACCAAATTTAGCTTCTATGTAACCTGGTATCGATACTACTATGATAAGGTATCGATACCCCCACCGATATCGATACCAAAATTAGGTTCGATGTTTCCTGGTATCAATACCCTTACCATGGTATCGATACTACATCATTTGGTACCGATACTAAATGAATCAGTATTGATACTTCACATATGATTCAACCCAATTTTTGGCTATAGTACCGATACCCCTGTCCAGATTTTCTAGTTTTCAACCAGAAATTTACCCAACTTTAGCCAATTTTCCTCTCATTTACCCCTAATCATACTTTATAACACTTCTCTACTTGGCCCTACTAACTTTCCTTCATTTAGACACTTAAAACATCTAATATTCCTCAAGATCATTTTATTCCAAGAATCACACCCTTGTTATTTCACTCAACCAATGCTTATAATCTTCCATTTACCTTATTGACAAGTCAATTTTACCAACAAACATTAATAAACCTTCATATATTAACATATCATTATATAACCCATTTTCTTAAATCTCTTTTATTTCCCTTATCTCATTGTTTTAATCCCATTTAAACCTTCATTAAGCTTCCATCATATACAAGGATTCAATAACTAGCAAAAATTGAAGGAATAAACCATTAACTTAAAAACTTACCTTTGAGCTTATGAGGGAACTCTTCTACAAGGAAAGAGGAACAAGAAGAAAGATAATTTTTTTGTAACCTAAACCCCTTTTCCTTATCTTAATACCAATTTAAAATACCTTTAAATTTATCTTCCCTTTAAAAGACTAGAATATCCCTTTAATAATCCATTATCACAATTTAGTCTATAACATTAATCCTAATCCTTCTCATCTTTCATTATTTAATAAAATAAATCCTAATATTTTTGAATCTTTTCAATATAGTCCCTAAATCAATATTTGGGGCATTACATAATACATGATAATATAAGTATAAACTATATAGTTTATATACATAGTTTATATATACAATATATATACCTTATTTATATGATATATAGTTTATATATAGTTTATATTAAAAAATTATATAGTTTATACATAATATATATAGTTTATATATAGTATATAATAATATAAATATAAACTATATAATATATATATACATATATATATATATATATATAGTTTATATATATAATATATATACTTTATATATAAACTATATATTTTATACATAATATATATATATATATATATATTATAATTGTTTCAATTTTTTCTCAACTTTTGAAATGAATGCAATTTAGTCCATTTTACATATTTTCTTTACATTTTATAATTATTTCGATTTGATCCCTTTGTGTTGTTTAATTTATTTAAATTTTTATTTATAATTTCGTATTTGTTCAATTTAGCCCTTAAAATTATATTTGCATATGAAATTGACACATACTTATTATTTATTTATATTTTTAATTGGCGCATAACTTTTTAAATGGATATAATTTAGTACGTTTTATATTAATTTTGAACCTCACATTTTAAAATTATTTTGATTTGGTCCCTCATTAATACATGTTTAATTTATTTAAATTTTTACTTGTAATTTCATATTGTTCAATTTAGTTCATAATTTTTTATTTTTCATAAAATTGATCAATGATTATTTATATTCTTAGTAATTTACTCTAAATCATATTCAATTACAAATTGCAATTCAACGTTCGTGAGAGACAAAAATAATTAATCCAAAAATAAAAATTGACTCGATTTGAACTCAATCTGTATTTGATAAAGATCCGACTTAAATTTTATCTGCTAATGATGTCACCCGATGTGAACGAGATCCACCTAAAGTCCATCTGAACCTGAATTAACCTGATCTTTATCTGCTCCGGACCTGAATTGTTTTGACTTGAACTGACATCGATCCGAACTGAAAGTAACCGGACCTGACCCGAACTGTACTTGATGTCAAATCAACCTAAAAATATCCCGATTTTATTTGATTTGAACCCGACCTGATCTAAGTTGAAGTATCAAATTTACCTGACTTGACATGTATCGAATTTTATCGGACTTGACATGTATCGGATTTTAGCCGACCTCATACGATTTAACTGAAACGTGAACATTATCCGATTTTCCCACAATTGCTTCAACAAGTCAGTTCATCGCTTTTGTTCTTCCTTTTGTCTCTACAATCCCCCCTCTAAATCCCTTCCCTTCCCTTCTCTCTCATTTTCAGGTGGTACTCTGAGAAATTCGTAAAGGTCAGTGGGATAAAGAGGAATGCGTTTCCGAGTGGCAAAAGTACAGAGATTGTCTCTCAGTAAAATCCCATTTCCCAAATTTTCTTTTCTGTTCCACTGGAAATAACTTAGTTTCTTTTTGTTTGATTAATTGGTTTTTCTTTCGTTTGTAAGGAACATCTGGATAACAAACATCTTAGTCAGTTCTTGGAAGCTGAAGCTGCTTTTGGTTCCATTATTCAAGAGAGCAGGGAAAACCCAGTTCAGAATACTGCTAAATAGTGTCGAAACAGGTGAAGAAGCTAAGCCGTTCCTTTTGTTTGCATTGTTGTTATTTGGAATTTGATTTTCTTATGTTCAAGATACATTGGGATTTACCTAGCTGATACTGTAGGAGATTGAGTCATATTGTTTTTTAGGGTTTTTTACCGCTAGAACATGGATGTAATCTGGATATAATCATTAGATCAACTATTTGTATTGTATATGTAATCTGAATAGAAAAGCATGCAACTTGTTTTGATCCTTACCACCTTAAACCGATTCGTTATTCATGTGGGTTTATATCATGGAATGCTTTACGAATCATGCTATGGTCATTGGTACATTTGTTCCGTGAACTGAGCATTATGGACTACATTTTAGTAGCAGTCAAATATTGCTTCTTGTGACCTCCTGCTACACCGTGTTGTTCCGAAACTGACGGAGTTCGATTTTACATTTTGTGGACAAGCACTTGATTTCTTTCTGCCCTCCAAACTGTTGTATCATTTTAAAATAAGATAGTAAAGCATCTCGGTTATTATCTCATTTCCATCCTATATACTTGAGATGTTGATTTAAGTGATGGTCTACATCCGAAAGCATTGGGAATTCTGGAAAATATGGTTCGGAATCTGGTTTCTATTTTCCACCAGGCATTGCATTCCTTCGATGCTGTAGTTTCTAAGCGGACCACCTGTGAGGGTTATCACAATAATTGTATCCAATGGTAACCGGATCCGATTCCTATTTTCCACCACCATGCATTGCATTCCTTCGATGCCTGTTGAATGAAAACAGATGTCTTAACTGCAAGAGTGAAATTTACTTATTGATTTTTCTGGTTATGTTATTTTTCCTGTGAGTAAAGAAACTGTGTTTGTTTCTACAGGCAATCAAGGATGTCGTTTATTAAAGCTAGTTTCAAGTAACAATGCTCGTTAGTCGCCCATTTTAACGATACTGCTACTCGGGTTTTATAGTTTGTAATCTAAGAATGATTTTGGTTGATAGGAAGTAAACCGTGAAAGATTGAAGTTGAAAGTATTAGTCAAGAATAATTTGTTGATTTCTGATGTAGAAATATCAAAGTTGTAAATCTAAAGTTCTATCATATATATGTATTTATATATATATATATCATTTTATATTAGAATTAGTAGTTGAGTTGTTCTTACAAATCCTCTTGTATTTTCTTTTTCTTTTTCAAAATTAGTGAAATTTCACTACATACGAGTTCTTGAAATAGTTATCGACCAAGAGACAATATAACGAAGCCCTTAAGCTTAGAAACTAGAATACAGATTCTTGAATTTAAAGACAAGATTCAAACATACACCAAGTTTCCCTTCCAATGGCAGGAAGAAAATGATTCTCAACCTGCTTATAAAAACATTTTTTTTAATAATCCTACACGTACAAGCCATGGTAGATTACCTTGGCTAAAAGGATACATTGACTAAGAACATACTTGAGTACATCACCTAGTAGAGGGTTAGCGGTCAGTGATGCCGGAATTCACAGGAAGTGCGGCTGAGCAGCCATCACCAAGGCCGTGCTCTCTTGTTGCTGCTGCACGATGGGCATTTGTACTGCTTAATATGCTCTGCCTTTGCTGGTGTAATCTTAACACACTTTCCATGGAACCATTTCTCACAGATTTCACAGCAGATCCAGAATTCATAACCGGCGTAATTCTCTCCGCAAGCCCCGCATAATGTCTCTCCATGTTCCTTGTCATCTTCCTCATCCATACCATCATCATCCTCGCCCTTCGATGGGACCGCCTTGGAGTATTTGGGCTGCGATTCAGAGCCTTGCTGCATTGTTTCAAAGGGCCAAAGAACATAAGGTCCATTTATTTTTGTTCTCCCATTCGCGTCTGCTACCAGCACAAGCAGAGAGAACTATGCATAAACCAAAATGGTAACGAACTTAATTTGGTTGGCTTTATGTACAGATGAACTTACTTCCAATGGTAGAGATTTTAGTATGTCATAACAGAATATTATATTTTAGCTCGGATCTCCACCCACCTTAACCCACTTTCGACAAAATATTTAAGCAAGAAAATCTACCGTACCTTAGAGTTTGATTTAGATTTGTTGCTGCTATGATTTGAAACTGACGATTTCTCCTTTGTCTGTTTCTTAGCAGCTCCCGTCACAACTTCAAATATTGTTGGAAGATCATTGATCATATTGAAAAGGCGTTTCCTACACAACAATAACCGTCATTGTATTGTTGAGGAAAAAATCTTGTAGCCATATGCAAATCCCATACACAGCATCCCAATTTAAGAATGCTTACTCGGACTATGCCTAGTATTACTATTTACCGATACGTGTTGTATGCCATTCATTCTGAAGCCTAGATTTATGGATCAGACAGACCATACCTTGGAACGGATGACAAGCTAACAACAAGGATTACGGACAAATAAAACAGTCGACAACGCAATAAATTTTCAATGAAAGCATTATAAACTAAATATTTAAATCAGATATGGGGGCTTCAAGCAGCAAGTAGCAAATACCAGCCAAATTAAACTAGTTTTGATAAATGGGTGAACCATCAAAGAGAATCCATTTACAAAAGTTTTGTCAACAGGGTGAAATCAATAGCATCCAAAATTTCCGTGAGAGATACGTAGAGGGCAGTATAAAAACACTACAAGAGTCTTGGCGAAACCAAAGCCGGTTTAGCTCGCATGCCTGACAAGTAACTTTGCATATTTACACCTAGAACGTGTAATAAAGCCAAAACAGGAAATGACACTTGGGCGAGGAAAGAATATACCTATCAGCTTTATCAAACCCAAATCTAGCACCAAAATAGAAAGCCACAGAAAGTAACCACGCGTCACTGTGTACAGCAACCAACGATAACCAGTCCTTTTCTTGCATTCCATCTCTGGCAAAGTTAATACCCAGTGCAGGCTCTGGAAGCTCGGGAGGCACCTCTTCAGCAGGTAAATTCACTTCCCACTGCTCACTGGGAAATCCATAAAGGCAAAGATTCTCTTTTTCTACAATCAAAATTTTAGAATTTTAGTTGACTTATTTCATGCATTTAAAGACCCTAACAAGGTAGAACGAGTAAAAGCATACTTGTGGCAATCACACTTATTGCATGCACATCCATTAATCCGTATCTAACCAAATCACAGCCATATATCAAACCAATAAGCATCAAAGAACTAGCAGTGTTACCTTTGCTAATCAATTGAAAAAAATTACAAAATAAAGGAAGAACTTTTTCAGACCAAACTTTAAGATTTATAGTATTTAAAGAAAAAACTCGAATTTATAGTTGTAAACACATAAGGAGCAACAACAATAACGTTCAAATTATAAATTTCATCACACTTGCTACGTACAGATCTTGTACTTTGCTCAAACTGGACTTTTTCATCTTAAAAACAAAAGTTCAACTTAAGTAGAAAGTGGTAGCCTAATAATTCAAAATTTTTCTCTTCAGGGCACAAAGTTAAACAACAATAAACACTATAAACATTATTGGAGTTTGTGATCCGAATTTCGTTTGGCCTGACCCGGAAAGTTTGTTACACACCGGGTAAAGATATACATTAGGAGGAAAAAAATGGAGATATGTGACGGATGCGGAGGTATAGTTGTATTCAACTAAGATGAATGAGTCCGCACAACCATAATAAAATATATATCTAATCTAAGGTTCTAAGTTTTAACGTACTACTCTAGTAATTTGCAGTCGACTATAGTGAAATTCTTCTACTCTACTCGCTGTCATGCACTAAAGTTCACGTCAATTACACAAAACTTCAAACTACTTCAATAACAAGGTTTGAATATTCAATTCTTCAGCTAAATCATTTGGCCCGGTGAATCAATTATCACCAAATCTGGGGTAATAAAAGAACCCAACAGCTAGATTCTCTATTAAAATGAAAAAAAAAAACCAAAGATCCAGTACCTGGATCGCACTGGTGGTAAAACTCTTCCACATCTGCAAACACCACCACGCCCAGAAATTATATAAAATTAAATAATTAACTTCAAAGAATATGACGAGCAAGTAAGTGAAAAAAGCATTAATTCTTCAAAAAAAAAACCAAAACAAGAGAAATGCATTTACCAGTGGTGAGAGCTTTAATCATGCCAGCACGACGACCCTTAAAATCTCGAAAGACTTCTTCCACTGTGCGTGGGTTGTAAGAAGCACCGCCATCCATGACCCACACTGGTTATTTCCTTCCCCTTTTGATGGGAAACAGAGGGAGAGAAAGGAAATGGAGGGAGAAGAAAATATTTTGGGAAAATATAAGAAAAATATTGGGGCGAAATTCTGAAGAAAATTGGGATATATATTATAGTTTTTTTCAATTAAGCAGATTTGATCAGAAAGGGAGGAGTCCGCCACTCTGGTTTTTGGCCCGGAGAAAAACCCTAAATATAAAGCCCCTTTCGTCTAGATTTTCATACGTCGTCAAATAGCATAGGGATGATTGTCAAAATCGAGTTGAATTATTTTTTAATTAATTAAATTTATGAGTATTATTTTATTATTTAAATTTTATTTAAAATATTTGTTAGTTAAATTAAATTTATAAAATTTGAATTTAGTGAAATCAAATATATTTATTTAAGTTTAAGCATAATCATCTGATAAAAATTGACTCAAAATAAAAGGAAAGTAACGAAACAAACTAATTAAAATGAAACTGCAAAAAAGAAATCAAATTACTTAAATAAAGATTATAACAACGTTTTTATTTTTTATTTTTTAAGTATGTAAATTTTGCAAATTTCAATTTAATTTGAACTCTAAATCAAACTAAAAATTTGAGTTAACTCGAATAACGTAAATTTAAAAATTATTATTATTTAATTAGTTGTGTTTTACTTACCTTAATCTCAAAATTCACAATTTTACATATAGAAACGTTAATTTATTTAGACATAATAAAAAAATAATCCTAAATTTAATTAGATAGTCACTTTCGTTCACATTTTTTTGTAGACACCAATAAAATCACGAGTATTGAAAATGGGTTGATGAATAATGAATGAACCTTTAGCGTTTCCATCGTCAAGAAGTCTCTCCTCCTCGATCTTCCTCACTTGATCCTTGGATTATTTGCAGATGCTCATCTAAGATTTTCCGATAATCGCCCCTTTCAACGGCGGGGAACCTCCTACAAATGTACTCGAAGAAGTTCTCTGCCTTCACAATCATCCCTTTCGAGCACAGCATTTTGACAAAAACCGAGAAACTCTTCAAACCGACGACATAACAGTTACCGATCATTTCGTTAAAAACTTGCATTGAAATTTCTTCGTCTCCGGCCTCACTGTATCCCTCAAGTAAGCAACCTCACGTCGTGGCATCGATGTTAATACCATTTCGAAGCATGTCATCAACCAGATATCCGACCTCAAGCATCCTACCTCTGGTCCGACAAAGACTACATATGACAGTACTATACGACACATGATTAGGCGAGCAACCCATTCGGGGCATCTGTTGTAGAAGCAAAACACCTCTATCGAGCTCCTTCATCTCCTCGAGTTTCCGAAACACCGCGTTGAAAGAACTTACATTCGGACTAACGCCTCTACCGCACATTCCCGTCAAAAGGGAAACCGCTTCACGATCTTCCTCAATTTGCAATACTCATTCACAACAACTATGTATGCTTTTGCATCCAAATCCATATTACAATTAGCCATCCACCTGAAATATTCAATGCCTTCTGGAGACCTTCCTTCCTGCAATACAAAGCCCTTTCAATATACTCAAATGAGTTGCCGCATTATCCTTCACACCATTCAACCTCATCTCGGACATCATCGTCTTTGCCTCGTCGAATTTCCCTCTAAGACACAAACCATATATAATTGCATTATAAGTTAGCACATTAGGTGAGCAACCCCCTTTCAGCATCTTGTTCAAAAGCTTATTGGCCTTGACGAATTCTCCTTTCCTGCAATATCCATCGATCATGGTAGTGTAAGTTACAACTTCAGGCAAGCAATCCACCTGAGTCGTCATCTTATCGAGAAGCAAACTTGCACTCTCCATATCACCCTTCTTACAAAACCCATTAATCAAAGTGTTAAATGTAAACGAATTCGGCTTGCACGGCATTTCATCGAACACCTTCTGTGCACTCTCGACCATCCCTTTTTTGCACAGACCACTTATCAGTATAGTATACGAAGACACATCGGGTTGAAACCCACCTTCCTTCACAACGTTATCAAACAAGGATTTGAGTAAATCGATTATGTTAGCCTTAACTAAAACACCCAGAATCGAATTAAATGAAAACAAAGTACTTATCTTTCTCGATTGATTTTGCTTGGTTAAACCAAAAGATTGCAGCTTTGATGTTCCCTTTAGCACCATACGCCTTGATGATTTTGCCGATGAAGAAATCCGAGAGGTTTTGAGATTTCTTAAGGAGTTTAATGGCGGGGTGGAATGAAGAGTGGTGAAAGAGGAGATTTGTGATGGCTTCATAGCATCTGAGATTGTGGGCGTAGTTTTTGGGGTTTGGGTTTGATGCCCAGTTGAAGAAGAAGAGAGCGTGGTATGGGTTGGTTTGTTTGGTGATGACGAGAGTGACAAAGTTTGGGTCCAGGAAAGGGGAGAAGCGGTTTAGAGGCGCTGAACTGATGTTTTTAGGGTTTGGGGTTTTGGGATTTAGGGTTTGGAGAAGGGAGGTTATGGAGTTTAATATGGGGATGAGGTCCAAAGCTTGAACCGAGTTGGTAATGGGCCTGGTTGATGGCAGCGCCATTAGAGATGAAACAAAAGCTTGTTTTCACAGATCTTACTGGCAGTGGAACTGGGCTGAAAAATGAAATTTCCATGTAATTTAAGGATTGCTTAAAACATGTATTTATTCACTCACCTATTCCTCCAATTATGTTTTTTTGGTCATCAAACGTTTTTTTTTCAAAATTATATCTAGTGTTATATTTTGATTCCAATTTGATCATTTGTTGTTAATAAAAAATAATAATGATGTTAAAATATCATCATAAGTTAATGTCCTATCATCATTGAAAATATAAAAAGAATATTATGTCAACAATTCTATTTATTTATTAATGGTAAGTGACCAAAACGAAACCTAATCATAACACTAAATATGATTTTTAAAAAATAGTTAAAGAATCAAAACGAAACTACGATAATAGATGGATGGCTATATACATAGTTTACCCTTAGGGCGTGTTTGGTGTCATCTCACATTACCGGGGGAATAGAATGTCATTCCACATTTGGTTGTCAAACATTCTCAGGCCCCGGTAATCTTTATTCCTTACAGTAGTATTTTGGAGATATTACAAGAAATGTGATTACCCCATTCCCTTAGGTATTGTTGGATTATCGACATTTTGGACTAAAAATGCTCTTAATTTTTTTTTTTTTTTAAATATCATTTTTCTGTCGTTGAATAAAAATATTCTACGAAGGTTAAATTACAAATTTATCCTTAAACTATTTTAGATTTACAATAAAAGTCCATAATTAGAATTTTATATGAAGTTAGGGGTTAAAATAAAATTTTACTCTTTCATTAAACCTATTTATCTTTTCAATTTTGTAAAAAAATTTATATAAATTTTATGAATTTAAATTTTTTTAAAAAATATATAAATTAATTATAATAAAATTATAGTGGAATTCAACTTGTTAAAAAACAAATATATAATAAAGACAATTTGGTAAAATATACATTCCAATAATATTTTATTCCTTTAACCAAACACTGTAATCTTACATTCCTTCTAAATGAACCAAACACAAAATATAATATTTACAGTAATCTTATTCTTCCCGATAATGATATTTCTGCTGATAATCTTATATTCCGTGAATCAAACGCACGTAAAGTATGATACCACTACTTTTGTACAAGTGATCCTCCTGAAAAGACGCATTAGGTTAACGACTTGAGATTTTCAAAGAGAAAAAAATAATTACAATTTTCCACTTCTTTTTTTTTTAAGTGGTAAAGAGAACACAAGCAGTGCTTAAGGCTATCGTCAAAGAAAGCGTGCCCCACTTTCTGTGGGGTATCATGGTGGACCTGAAATTCTAGCGGTCTCTTCCACATTATTTTCGCCATACAGTCTGTCACTCAATTCTGTTCCCTCGGAACAGAATTCAGATGTGTGACCCAATTCTGATGCCTCAAATCAAGAACGAGGTACACCAAAGAAGTTCCCAAACGTCTCCAAAACTCGGATGTAAGAGCATGCACGATTTCCTTACAATCCATCTCCACCAACAAATTCTGGATACCCAAATCCCATGCCAAGCTCAGCCCTTCATAGTTACCCTAAAGCTTCGCTTCCCACGCCGAGTACGAGCCAATGGCCTTTGAAAAACCCGCAACCCAAGCCCCCGTATGGTCTCTAATAGCCCCCTCACATGCAGCTAAACCTGAGTCCGAACGACAAGCACCATCAGTGTTCAACTTGAACCATACCTTGCCTGGAGCAACCCAACTTCCAGACTGATCAGCAGTGCCGGGGCTTGCTCTGTGCAAATTCTTAAAGAGATATCTTAAATCTCAATTTTTTTTAAAGATGTTTTTATTAACTAAACTTTTTTTTACGAGATTCGACCGTAAGTTTAGTGGTTTTGGGTTAAAATAATTTATCACTGACCCAAAATATTTTGTTTGATTTTTTTATTATAACAATAGTAATAAATCTAATTTTTTAAGGTTCTTGTTATTTTAAGGCTCTGTTCCGTCGCGCACGTTGCACGGTCCTAACCCCACCTTCAGCAGGCCTGAAGTTACGGACAGAACCCACCGCCCGGAGAGCAAGAGCTGCCCGAATTTCCGATTGCAGTCTGCGACTCCAAACCAGAACGTTGTCCCTTGGCAGCGCTTCAGGAGTGAAAATGATTTGGTTTCGATGTTTCCACAGAACCCAAATGATGATACCAAACAACTCCACCCACTCATCTCTAAGGATCGGGAAGTAAGCCGACTGAGAGAAGTTCTTACGTATCCATGTTCGGAAGTCCAAACTCATAAATTCATTCAAGCGTTGAGGAACGATGAGCTCCTCCCATATTCCTCTAGCAACTGGGCAGCCTTAGAACCATAGAACTAAATTACGGCCGCAACGCAACGTAACGTCCGTATTGTAACGTTTTTTAAGGTTACCGCTACGCAATATCAATGCGACGTGATAAGGGAAACGCATTACAATTGTTGCAGTCAAAAACCGTTACGTAACACCGTAACACGCTATAATTGTACCGTAACACTTCAAAAAATATTAAATTATCTGAAATATAAAATTACATAGATGAATTGTTCTAATTTAATTCTTAAAAATGGATTATAAATATGTATCATTAATAATATCATAATAGTTATGTTTAAAATTAGTTACTTAAATTTGAATTAATTAAATTATTTATTAACGTTCTTTTAAAATTAAATTAATTTAAATTTAAATGTTTTTCTATAATAGTATATGTATTTTATCTATTTACTATGAAACTATAAAATTTGATTTAATCTATAATATAAAGAATAAATAAATAATATTATAAATAAAATAAAAAAATAATATATTCTTTGACAAAATAAAAAAAGTGATGGTGTGTGCGTGTAGAGGCAGAGGCGTAAAAAAGTAAATAATTGATAGACATGGTTACATAATTTGGGATCAGATGCAAATAAATAAATAATATTATAAATAAAATAAAATAAAAGGAATATATTCCTTGATAGTGTGTGTAAGAGACAGAGCACTAAAGCAAATAATTGAGGGCACTAAAATTGATAGGCACGATTTCATTGAGTTAGGGTTCAAAACCTTCCTGCTGCAATAGAGTTTCATGTTTACTGAGTTGTGGGAGTACTTCTCATCTTTGTTTTAAGAGAATTTGTTCATTGGGGTTCAACCAAAGCAACAATTTCTATGGTGGTGGGTTTTCTTTGAAGATCTTTCAATTAGTCTGCTTAGTAGGAAAGGTGTTTTGTAGTGGAGTGACTCGCAGATTTATTTTTCTGCAAGTAAGTTGTTTTATTATTATTTTGTTTATTACTTAATTCAAAAATTAAACTTATCTTAAAATTTGCATTTAGGATTGTAATATGATTGTTTATGAAATAATTATTTTAAATATTTAATTAATAGTCAGTTACATTCATATTTTGTTATCTAAATATTTGTTTTATTTTTTAATTTGTTTTATTGTTAGTTTTAAGTTTTATAATTACTATTTTATTTTTGAATACTTTATTAGCTTATTTAATTATATGCAACTATAAGAAAAATGCCACATTCAAAAAGTAAAAAAGGTGAAGCTCGTAGTGATGATTACAGTTGTAGGTGGGGAGAACCTGTTGAAGGTAATCGTAATAATGTCAGATGCAAATTCTGTGACAAAATTATCAAATGAATAACAAGATTGAAAGAGAATTTGGTTGCAAAAAGAAAATGTAGCACCTTGTCAAAATGTCTCGGTTGAAGTTAGGAAAAACATTGCTCAACAACTTAAGGAATATCATAATGAAAAAGCTTTGAAGCAGAAGAGAAAAGAAGAATTGGAGGAAAGAATAAGATTAGGAGATCATGGAAACTATGGTAATAGTGATTTGGATGATGCGGAGTTAACTATTGCAAGACAAGAAAGTATAAGATCCAAAATTGAATGAGAAGAAAGACAACGTCGAAGAGCAAGAACTGGTCAAGATTCATTTTATGAACCTGGGGGAGGTAGTACTACTTAGACTCGAGACTTTAGAAGATCATTTAGTACTGTTGATTCAAAAAGAAGTGGGAGGGAACATCAGTGGAGTAATTTTGACTTTTCTGGAGCTATATTAGCAAATATGGATCCCGTTCTTGAAAAATCAAAGAGTTCGAAGCAACAAAAACTCGCTGAAAGCTTTTTGAAAAATGTAAGAAAAAAAAGATAGGGGAAACAATTTCAAAGTTAATATTGCATGAAGCTTTACCAGCAAGAACTGCAGACTCACCATTTCTATAGACTGTACTTCAAGTTGCAGCTGAAGTTGGAAAATCAGTTAGGGGCCCTTCAGCTTATGAGGTAACATGATTGTATTTGGATGAAGAGTACAAAGAAACACAAGAATAGGTGAATGAATGGCTTTAAGCCTATATGGGAAGAAAGAGGTATGACCATTATGTGTGATGGGTGGAAAGGGACTAGAAATCAATATATAATCAATTTCTTGATTTATAGTCCTAGAGGTACCATCTTTAAAAAAATCAATTGATGCTAGCAATGTTACCTCTTGTACTACTAAGTACTATTTTGATATAATGGACGAAAATGGTGGATGAAATTGGTGAAGAATTTATTGTTAAATTTGTTATTGACAATGAAGCAGCAATCAAAGCTTGTGGTAAAATGTTGATGCAAAATAGAAGACACTTGTATTGGTCAACATGTTCTGCACATTGCTTGTATCTTATTTTGGAAGAAATTGGTAACAAAAACGTGTGAAAAGTGTCTTAGATCAAGCAAAAAAGATTACGTCCTTTATATACAATCATACATGGACGATTGATTATATGAAGAGGTATACCAAAGGTATAGAACTCTTACGTCTTGGGATCACTAGATTTGCTACCAATTTCATTGCTTTGGAGAGCATTGTTAGAAACAAAAAAGCACTTAAAGAAATGGTGATTTCTCCAAAATGGAAAAGGTCCACATATGCAAGAAAACCAACTGGATTAGAGATGATAGAAGTCATTAACTCCACACAATTTTGAAAAAAAAGTGGGTGAT